AGAAGTTTCTTGTTCTGTAATCACTAGTGTGGAAACTGAGAAAATTTTAGCGAGCAGACTTTTCAGTGAGAAAAGCTTTAAAAGACCACAGTACCAATATATTAAGAAAGCATATTTATCTAAGAATTTGATTTTTTAAAACATCTCTGATTAATTAATTATTTTTGTAGTACTAAGCAAACACTCTACCACTGAGTTACAGCTGCAGCCCTGAGACTGACTTTAAGTATCCCGAGTTTAAGAGGTGGACACCAGTTTTTTCCCCTTAACAGTCTACCTAGTCTCTCCCTCCCTCTCTCTCTCTCTGTCTCTCTCCTCTCTCTTTTTTTTCCAGTATTACTAACACTGTACTTGTAAGCTGCACCACTAATATTTACTTTTCCTGGTAATCTTGTTTTCTTCTACAAGGCACTTGATTATCTATAGTATTACTAAACCTGGATTACACAATCCATAAATATTGTGAAACAGTGAAGGAGGTTTCAAAGTATTCTGAAGGAAATATACAGAAATCTGGCCAATTTCTACATGCTCTTGGTCACTTACAATAACATTTCTAATTAGGTTATAAGTAAAGAGAATTTCAATCTATTACTATTTTGTGTAAAATAATCTCCATCACTATCCTGATACAGTGGAGGGGGGATCATGTTTATTACCATTTTCTATAAACCAACCTAAGCACAGTATTCAAGCTCATTAATAAAAACCATTTAGTTTTATTATAAAGATCTAAATAACTAGAGGTATGGATATATGTAATTCTCTGAAATTATTCCTCAACCAGTGAATGGTTGAAAACTTCCAAACTGAAAACTGTAACACAACTAAAGGCCTTCTTTCTGGGGAGCTGACTTCTTCAATATCATTCTTGGGAAAGCAAAAACCAGATTATGTCTCATATAACTATAAATGACTAACGTAACATTTTATTTTAGATAACACACTGCAATGATTCACGCTATCACTGATCACCAAATGAATGACAACACGGGCCCATTGCAAGCTGCCCACCCGCACTCTGTCCTTGTATTTTTCTCCATCTTTTCCTGGCTCCCCTCACCAGCCAGACCAGGACACAGACACAGGACCTCCTTCTCCAGCAAACCTGAAGCAGCCACTCCTTACCAAGGCAAAGGAACCTTTCTTTGTGCTCCTTTTAAAATAAGTGTATTCAGTGAGAATACAGAAAATGAAACTAAAAGTCTTGAGTCTCACACTCAGTTATTATTTTAATCAAGTCAGGTCTCTAAACAATTTTCTTCATAACTCACAATCAGGAGTGGGGAATGACAGAGGCCAAACTACAAATCTAGTGATTGCTCAAGGCTATTTTTAAATAAATTATAGTTTCACAATAGCTATTATCATAATATAGGCCAGCCTTTAAGGACTCACTCAGAGATGTCTGCATTTCTGAAACCTCCCATCCAGTTGTTTTCAGTGAACTGGACTGCCCTGGACTTTACCAGTGGTTTGTCACAGGACTGAAGTCTGCACTTGCTGGCCTGTGAGTGGAATTTGAGAGCGCAAAGAACAGGGAGGCATAGGTTGCTGCATCTCAGGTCCAGAAACAATCCTCTCCATCCTAGTTAAAGCCCAGTTAAGCTCAGGGTCCTAACTACAAACTTTTCTGAATATCTTAAGATGAAATTTAGTTCACACACCTGCAAACTGCATAATTCACTAGATTTCTGATCTTACAGCATGTGTCAGCATAAATTTCTAACAGCTGAGGTGTTTAATAAAAATTTACTGATACTTCCTATTTACAAAGCCCCTTGGGATTTGGGCAAGGCAAAATGGGTTGTAAATGAGCTGGAAAAACAAATATGCAGGTCGCTATACTAGGAAATATTAATTAAAGTGTGGTAAAGAAAGTTTAGAAAAATATCATGGACCTTTACAGAAGGAAGGTCACCATATGCTTTGAAGTAAGAAAATAATGTGAACCAAACCATGAGGAAATGGGAGGAGGGTGAGGGAATATGTCTAAGAAACATGCATTCCAGTATAGACCAACAGAACCCCAGAGCTCCACATCAGGCTTTGGACACAGACTATAGCCCTTGTATATGTGATATACAAGGGCTTGTGCTATAAACAAGGACGTTCCTCTCAGAAAGATAAAGTAACTAATGAAATGAGGCAGATGGAAGGCATGTTACAAAACGTAATTATCAGGGGAGCGGAAAGAAGAGTGAACCAACAGGTTCCCGGGTTACAGTGGGGCCCCAAAGGTGATGTCCGCTTGGAATCTGCTGGCTTGGTGGCACCAGATTTGGTACTCAGGGGCAATAGAGCAGTGCAGAGGAGTCAATAATGTCACAGTTGATACTGTGGATGACTGAGAGAATACAATTACCCTAATAAACATAGGGAAATTAAGGGAAAGAACAGTGCTTTCAGTATTATTTCAATATGAAATAAAACACGGAAAAAGGATCAAAATAGAATCTAGGAGAATGTCTACATTTAGAAAATAGTTAAAAGAAGATAATAAAAGCAACCAAAAGTTGGTTTCACGTAAGATAAGAAGCAAAATGTTGTGTGAGCAAAAATGTCTAAAAACAGTATCAAAAAGAAGCACCTATCATTATGGTATCAAACACTGAAAAGGAACCAAGAAGGATAAATGCTGAGCAAGACAAAAAGCTCTGATTTAATTTTTTCAAGTACTAGTACTGAACTCAGGGTTTTCACACTGAGCAACATCCTCAGTCCTTGTTCTTTTAAATTTTGAAACAGCTAAGTCACTAAGCTGCACAAACTTGTGATCCTCCAGCTTCAACATCCCAGAGTAGAGTTTCCTGATTTTTAAGAAGTCCTGGGGCAAGGGTTACAGGAGGGAGATCGCAGGCAGGAAAAAGGCACAGTTTTTTAAAAGATAGAATATTTCTATCTCCAAGGAAACAACTTCTTCAAACTCTAAAAGTAAACTCAGTAGGATGTTAGCAAACCAACTGAGGCAGCAAGAAGAAAGAAAAACCTTTAGTAATACACTTACCTGTAGTAATACCCTTATATATGGCATTTCTAGAATGTCAATACTCCCAATTTCAAGCTGGCAGCCGCTTGAAAAACTGAAGCTTCACCAATGGCTTCCCAGGACAAACCAAGTCCAGCACACCACTGCAAACCCCTATGTCATGGTCTACCCTACAAATGAGCAGTGGTGTGGTAACTTTCCTCTTAACTCAGTTGGCAATAATTCTCTGGCTAACCTCACAGCCATTCACAGAAGTCTACTCCACTCTGGTTACCCTAGGCTTCCGCAACTGCACTGCAACTGAGCAGGCTGGGGTGTGGAAAGCAAACTGGCCCCTGGGTTTGGGTGGGTGTGCCCGTGCCAGCTTCACTGAGAACCACAAGGGGCAGGCAAGAACAAGAGGCTGCAGAAAGCTATCAGAGGACTATTTCACACTTGTTTCCTCTCCCACCTGTATCAGTCTGGTTTTGGTTGCAAGTAAGACAAAGCCACTGACTGAGCAAGTTACAAAGGAAAGAAGTACTGAAGCATCCTGGTTCACGGTTCTGGGGTTGCAGTGGAGCTGGCCTTCCTGCTGACGAAGTCCTGCATGGCAGCAGCAGTCACAGAGGTAGGTGTGTCTGTTCTGTCTCTCTCCTGACAGCACAGCCAGGAGTCCATCTCTGGTGCTGCATCCTAAATAGCTTCCCTGACCCTGTCCCTTGCCAGAGGTCCTGCCTGCCACCTCCAATTTCTCCACCCTAACACTCACCACGCAGCTCTAACTGCTCCTCCTGAACCCTCAGTTGTCTTATGGCTAGGGAATTTCACCGAGAACAAAAGTCAAATACGAGTCCAAATCCAGGAGAAAACAGCAAAGACCTGGGGAAGATGCCTTGGGGGAGGGGGTCTGACCCAGCCCTGCTTTGTGCTGGGGGCAGGGACACTGGTACCCAGCACACCTAGTAGCACCTTAGGTTGAATATGACCACATTCCGAGAGCCCCCAAGTGGGAGCAGGGGCTACCGGATACAGTTTCCAAGGCCACACCATCCCGGACACTGCCAAGAACACAGGGAGGCCACCGGGTGCCACGGCCATGGGTGGCCCACTGCTAGTGACTTTCCACAGGGTCGCTCTTGACGATCTTCAGCCACGACCCTAAGCCATCAAACCACGGTGGTGCTCTCATCTCCCAAGCTCGGTAACAAGACAAAAGAGCCACTCATCAGGAATCTCAGAGCCAAATACGTGACTCACCTGATGGACACACAAGTACCAGTCAGGTTCTTGTTTGCCACCCAGGACGTTTGACATCCCACTTTAACTAACAAGGAAGTCTATCAACACAGAAACAAAACTCAAAACTAGTTCCTCGCATTTCACAACTTTCCTCTTTGTCATCTTCCCAGACACCCCTGTTTCATAATATCCCATATTCCACGATTTAGTAGAAATCTTAGTTCCTATCAGAATTTCTCCGGGCAGCTGAAGTCGAACAATTGCCAAAACATTTCATTTAGGAGGGGGAGATACAGAAGTTTACTTTCGTATCCATTGCTAGGCAGAAAGTAAAGCAATGATCTTCGTGGTAGTTAAGATTTCTTTTCACGCAGGGAACTAGTCCTCTACTCAGGCGTGCGTGAAGGTCAGGTACAGGTAGGAAAAATAAACTCAGCCTGCCCAGACATCACAGAGCTCCGCAGCACACAGCTGCCCTCCCGCCTGGCCTGGCAGTGTCCTACACGTCGTGGTCTCCTGGGACACACCATAAGTGTGCGTGTGAGTGTAGATGCGCGCGCGCACTTCTCCAGGAAAGCCAGGGCAACTAATCGGAGAAGCACAAAGCAAAAAGGGACAGCACAATCTAGCTAAGGCCGATGCCAAGTAGGAGGTGAGCGATCACTTCCAGGCTTGTTCTCTGTACCCTAAGTTTCCGGCATCAAGGGTTAGGGAGCCCCGGCCCCCGCCCCGCCCCTCCTCGCCAGTTCCCCAGCTCCCCTCCTCCGGGACCCCAGCTGTCCGTTCTCACCCCTGGCCGGTGTCCCCCGACTCCACTTCCTCCTCCGCCGCCATGGCCGCAAGCACCCCAGGCCGCGTCTCGAAGCCGGCTGACGAGCCGACTGAACCGCCGGGGCCGCCACAGCCCTTAAAGCCGGGGCGCGCGCGCATGCGTCGTCGCGCCGACGCCTAGCGCGATGGGCGGGGCCATGCGCTCTACGCATGCCCGGTTCGCTCCTGCCGATCCGCCCCAGCAGCGCACGCGTCCTCCCGCCGGCTGCGCGGCGGATTGGGCGGCAGAAGAGGCGGAGCCGCTTGAGTGACTGTTGAGGCTCCTCGGGCAGGTCAGGTCCGCCCTCGATCGAGTCCTGGGCGTACTGTGGCACCATTCAGCCTCCGTAGACGCGGAAGGGACGGCGTGCGTCGCCGGGCGCCCGGGCCGCTGGGCCGGCAGGTCCGGCCCCCTCGCGAGTCTCCCCACGCGTTCGTTGTGCGCCTCCTGTGTGCGGACCCCTTTCTGGGTGCCGGTGATGCGGGGACAAACACCGACCCCTGAGATGTCAGATGGGCCCGGCTCCCCCGGACCCTGTAACATCCAGGAGCCAAGTCGCGGACTAAGGGATATAGGAGAGTTTCATTGGTAATCAGGAGCAGCAGAACAGCTCCTGGATTCCAGGGGGACGTCCTGAGTGGGTGGCCAAGGAGGCACTCTGTCAGGGATAATTTACACAGCAGGGTCACGACGTGGGGCAAACTCCATCAACCTGTAGAATTACAAATATAGCCACCTAGGTAGGATTGAGCCTGTAGGGAAACAGGTCATGTAGCAAGGGTCTGTGGAAAGAATCAAAGACATTTTTGGAAAGGGGTGGTGTAGATGCTCTGGTCACCCCCCTGGGCAACTGATGTCTAGCTGGACTTCCTGGACCAGGTGGCGCCTTTTAAGTATAATTTCAAATTACTGTTTATTCCCAGAGAGCCAGTAAACCGGACCATCACATCTTTATCTCGAGACCTGATCTTCAGATGCGCCTGCAGCCACAATTCTTTGTTTTTATGTTGACTTCCTTGAGAGCCCAGCCCTGTCTTGACTGTATATTAATTTCAGTCTAATTCAATTGTGTATAGTACTGAATCAGAGCAGGTTTGAAACGGTGCTTCTGTCTTCAGAGCATCTACACCGTCGTGGACAGAAAAATCACTTCTCATAGTTATGTGAGAAATAAGGTAGGAGGAGCTGGAGATTTAGCTTAGTGGCATAAGCACCTGACTGGCAAGTGTGAGGTCGTGAGTTCGATCCCTGGTACAAAAAAGAAAGAAAGAAAGAGAAATACGGTAGGGGCTGTGTACTAATATCTTGTCCCATCACAGAGGGTAAAAGTAATGGAGAGCTGAAGACGTCCTTTATAAGGAACTTACCCCGCGATCATGGAGGCATTCATCAATTCACAGAGGTAGTGCAGCTCATTACCCACACACCTCCTCACATTAGGCCGTGCTTTCCCTACACCACTGCCTTGAGATCAAGTTTCCAACACTGGACTTTGGGGGACACCGAAGTTCCCCAAAGCTCTGTCCCCTGACCCACTTCTCTTTCCATAGCCTCTCTTCTGATTCCCCTGTAGATCTGACATGCCTCTATATCACCCACTGGCCGAAGTGGGGCCACTGTGTTGAGCCATTTCTGCTCTGAATTCTCTGTGGCTGAAGCTGTTGAATCTACATCACAGCTCGAATTTGACCCCATACCACTTTGTCCCCTCCTTCCCAGGTGTGGATCTGTGGGGCACTCCTGAACCCGTCTTAGAGGTTGCTCCCTGGAAGACCGAAATGGAGACACTAGTTCTTGTTTTCATTGAATGTTAAGCATGAAATTTGGCTTAGGAAGTGAGACTGATGAGGAGGTCACCACTTTATGAACTTTATACTACTAGGATGGGAGCCTGTCACTTACGCCCCAACACCACTGCAGAGGAGGAATTAGGAAAGAGGCAGGTGTGGATAATAAGGTTAGCACAGCCATGCACAACAGGTTGGGAGGATCACAAGAGCCTGGGGAAAGATGTAAGACACTGTCACCTCCATTGCTGTGGTTTGTGGTGCTTCCAACACTGGGAAGGAAGATGTGTGGGTGAATAGGCCTATATCCCAGTTCAGCAAAGCCAGATAATCTTATCAGAATGTGATAAAAAATCAGTCATTACCATTGAAATAATCCCTGTAACTCAGCTTTTTCTTTGTGTGACAGATTGCCTAAGACATCTTATGAGAAAGAGAGGTTTACTTTTAGCTCACTGTCAGAGGTTACTGCCTGTGGTCAGTTGACTCTGTCCCTCCGTACATCAGAGCAGGAGGATGTGGCAGAGAAGGTTTGTTCACCTCATAGCCAAGAAGCAAGGAGAGAGAGAGAAGAGGAGAGGCACCAGGGGTCCCAATGTCATGTTGTGTAAAAAGTGATGATCATGTTATTTACCTCACTAGAGCTGGCTTTTGCCAAAGCATGAGCTCTTATAATTAAATAGTGAGTAATTTGTGGAACTAGATGTTGAATCTTGGAACTTGAAATTGAATGTATTTATGTCACACAAATTGCCAATTATTTCACATCAGGGCTGGTTTGAGGGGACCCAATTTATGGATACATCATTGTCTCTATCAATGTAGAGATTTATAAATATCTGGTAGGAAAAGAACTTAAGATTTTACAGGCAAAAGTGTTGAGCCCCCACTGGGGGTGTAGCTCAGTGGTAGAACCTTGCCTTGCATGTGTGAGCTCTGGGTTCAAATACCAGCACTAGAAAGAGAGAAAAAAAGGTTGGCTAGCACAAGCAACATAAAAATACCAAAAACTAGATGATGAAGATATATCTTTCTCTGAAAGTGCACAGATGTAAGTAAGCTGGGTTTTTTGGTTTGTTTTTTTGTACCAGGGATCAAACTCACAACGTCACCCTTCCCAGGAAGTAGCTTATGCCACTGAGCTAAATCCCCGGTCCTCAATAAGCATTTTCAGTCATTGGAAAGATAGAAACCTCATTATTGTCTGTGTGACTATGATAACACTTAGTGAGTCTCCAAGATGTGGTTTTATTTTTATTGAAGTGCACAGCACCATTAGTAAGAGCTATCACGAAGCCACTGCGCAAGCGCCACCCAGGTTAAAAAGTAAATTTTTGGTGGACATAATGAGCAGCCGACTCAGGCCGGTGTGCAACAGGGGAGGTAACTGACTGCCCTCACACACGTGTCTGACCTGCAACCTCGTTACTGAACCACATGCTCAGGACTTCTTTCCTTGGTGCTTTCAACTAGTTTGTGAAGACTTTTTAGCTGTGTTGCTAAAAATCTATTTCCAAGATAAATGTAAAAGCTTTCTCCTTTGAGCTCTGACAGTGTTGCTTAGTCCCCTTCCCCTTTTCTTAGCATAGTCTGATTTAATGTAATTTCTTCTGCAGGTGTGGTGAAATGTCTCTCAGGTTCAGTCGCATAGGCAGGGTGCCTCCTGCTGTTACTGTTTTATTCCTTATTCTAAGACCGTCCACCAAAGCATCTTTTATATACACCTGTGCATTCTTTTCTCAGGGGAGAAGCTGCCTGTAAAACACTGATAATTATGGTGTGTGATAATTAACCCGTTGTACTAGATAGACCATCTTTTCTATAAAAATTAATTTTGGAGTATAAGACCTTTAAAACAAAAATGAGACAATATCATGAAATTATGGCGAACATGATTTTCGAGACTAACTGGACTCTCAGCAGTGAACTTACCACATAAGCCTTGTTTTGCCTGCTGAGTCCTCCAGAACTTCAGGTCACTTCCTCCCGATGTGGCCTTGGGCCACTGGGGGGTCAGGAGAGTCCCTGTGAGCGGCTGCTGTTGGTTGTGTGTTGTTAGTGTGCCTCCCAGCTCTCCTTGGCAGTCATCTTACAGTGACACATGAGAATCACTTGGGAACAAAGGTGTGTCCTCTGCTTACTTAATGATTTCTATAAATACCTAAAAACTGCTAGAGTCTACATGCTGTGTGGACCAAGTAAACACTTTATTACCACGTGACAGCTTTTAGAACTCAAAATGTTAACCAATCAAGCCTGTTGATCATTCTTAATAGCTAATATTATTTCCATCATACTGGTAGGAAATCAGAGAATTGAAAAGTCCTGATATACCAGTAACTATTCAGAGGAACAATAACAAGAGCTACAGGACGTATTTGTCTGTGTTTCAGTGTGTCACATGCCCTGGCGTGATAATGGTGCCTGCCTCACGAGGCAGAGGTGGATGAATAAGGGTTGCCCTCCCTGACCCCCCATTGCTACAGCCGCTCCAGGAATCTGTGCATCGGACAGTGGTAAATGCTCCCCATCCTTGGCAGTTTGGTTGGGAAGCGCTAGCACTTTGCCTCTAAACCTGACAAGAGGAGTCCACTGGCCCCCTGGTATGGAGTAGTAACAACTGAGCTCCTAGCACAGCTGTCTTTGAGCCCTAATGCAAGTGTTACCTGCTACAGGCTTTGTCCTTATTGCTAATCCACTCAGTCCAGTAAGACCATAACAGGAAAGTTAGAACTGAGACTTACAGCTAGCAGCAGAATTCATAAATCACTTATACGCTTGGGCAAGTTATATATAAGAATGTCCAATCTGCTCTTTTTGCTGTATTTCATTTGTCCTAAATATTAAATTAGGATTATTTTTCCTAATGGAAAAATTGGAAACCAACTGGGCCCTACTCATACAACTATTATGTAAAAATACCATCAAAGTGTAGTTTAAAAAAATAAGGCTCTTAGCTGGGCATGGTGGCACGTGTCTGTAATCCCAGCACTCAGGAGCTAAGGCAGGATGCTTGCCCTAAGTTTGAAGCCAGCCTGGGCTCTCTAGTGAGTTAGTTCAAGGACCGCCTGAACTCTATGGGAAGACCCTGTCTCAAAAAAAACAAAACAAAACAAAAAAAAACACCACCACCAACAAAAAACTCCCATTTTATCAGGAAATTAAAAATAATCTCCAGATTTAGGCCAGAGAATTTTATGTACAAATAGACTTTTGATTTCTGGCTTTCCAGGCCAACATTCACAGCTTAGAAGTCAGCCCTCTGTTTTAACAAGCAAACAGCTGACCAAACTGAAAATGTTACTCAGATTCCACAGGGAAGTAAGGTCACAGGGCAAACTGCTGCTTCCAAAATTTGTTGGTTCTCTGAAAAGATTAGTAATATCAGCGAGCTAATGTCAGGATAAGAAACAGAAAGAGAAGACACAAATTACTAATATCAGATATGGAAGAAGGGAAATGATTATAGATTCCATGGCTGTCAAAAGAATAAAAAGGTTACTCTTATGAGCAACTCTATATCCACATTCCTCAGAAGATTGGGCAAAACTAACAGAAGAAATAG